CACAGGTGACTCAGAGCTGTTAACATGCGAAGAATGATTCCAGATTCCAGAGGCAGTCTGGTAGAAACCTCATGAACTTAGCTAAAGTGAAATCTTAGAGGATCTCTGATTAAAATGTGGAAAAAATAATTGTGACCCACCAGGCACGGTGGCTCACGCCTGTAATTCCAGCACTTTGGGAGGCTGAGGCAGACAGATCACGAGGTCAAGAGATTGAGACCATCCTGGCCAACATGGTGAAACCCCGCCTCTACTAAAAATACAAAAATTAGCTGGGTGTGGTGGCATATGCCTGTAGTCCCAGCTACTCAGGAGGCTGAGGCAGGAGAATTGCTTGAACCTGGGAGGTAGATGTTGCAGTGAGCCAGGATCATGCCACTACACTCCAGCCTGGTGACAGAGCGAGACTCCATCCCCTCCCCAAAATAATGAGAATAATAATAGCAACCCAATATTTATGAAAAGGTGCTGGGAAATATGTTTTTTGCATGGTAAGAATGTATGTATTAAATTTTATACATTTCATTTAACTATAACATGATTAGTTATAAACCAATCAAGTGACATGGACAGAAGCACACTAAAAGTGTAATTAGTAGAAAGCCTCATGCATTGCTGTGGGGTCACAACTGTCTTTTAACAACATAATTTTATTTAAAACTTTGTATAATGAGGGTGTATATAACAAGGTTGTCAATAAACGGCTATAAATGCTGTAGCTAATTACTTGGGACTTACTCGAGTTTCTGAAATATTTTGAGATGACTGAATTGCTGGGTAGCAGAATACATTTTTAACCCTTTCAAATTCTGTCCTCTTCCAATCTGATGTCTGCTACATCTTTTTGATGTTTTGTATGTTTGTTTACAACAACAAAACATCATAGTGCCATAGTTTAATAGCTCATTTTTTCTTAACTTTTTTACTGAATATGACATATGTACAATAAAGAGGACCCATGTTAAGGGTAGAGATCCATGAATGTTTTACGGATATATAATTGTGTGTAACCCCCACCAGATGAAGATATGAAACATTCCCAGCACTGCAGAAACCTCCCTATTGCCAATAAATACCCCTATACCTCAATAGCCACTATTCTGACATTTCATTAGTTTTACCTGCTTTTGCATTCTATGTAAATGAAATCCTGCATTGTGTCAATGTATTAATTTTATTAAAATTTTGCAAACATTGGCATATTGAATTCAAGTGTAAATTCAGATATGAATTTGTTTAACAAATGCAACTATATATATTTCTACCCTCTCCTACAAACCTTTGTAAAAAGTTTTAAAATGCAAATCCTCTCCTTTAAAAACACCCTGTAGCACTAATGCTGATTAGGACTCCTCCTCAGCCCTTCCTACTTAAAAAGTTGAAGACATAGTGGTTTGAACTATGTAATGTCCATGGTACAGTGTTTCTAATCAGTGCTGATAATAGGTTTTTTCAAAAAAATGTTAAAAATGAAACAATAAAAATGTGGGAGGTTTTTTAGTTACATATTTTACATCTTAAAACTGTTTTTAAAATTTTATTTATTTAAGCAATAGGATTGCACTCTGTCACCCAGGCTGGAGTGCAATGGTGTGATTATAGCTCACTGCAGCCTCAAATTCCTCGATTCAAGCAATCCTCCCACGCTCAGCCTCCCAAGTCGCTGGGTCTATAGACAAGTGTAATCACATCCAGCTAATTTTTAAATATTTTATAGAGATGGGGTTTTGCCATCTTGCCCAGGCTGGTCTTGAACTCCTGGGCTCAAGTGATCCTCCACCTTGGCCTCCCAAACTGCTGGGATTACAGGCATGAGCCACTGTGCCCACCCAAAAGCTGTATTATTCAGCCTGTATATTTAGCAGTTTTCAGTGGGAAGGTCAACTGGGGTATCTAGTCTGCTTTATTGATGTAGAAGCCTCACATAATCTTAACATTTCTCCAATCCATCTACTTTTCTTAATTCTCATTCATAATGCATTAGTTCATGCATTTATAGTTTCTGACTCTACCGAAAGTCTTCCAGTTGCATGCCCTGCTTCCAGTCTCTACCTCTTTTCTCCACCTCTCATCCCTCTAGGCAAGCTGTATCAGTAAGAGTCTCAACAAGAAACAGAATTCACAAGATAGTTCAAAATACTTTAATGAAAGGACCATCACAGAGGGGTGAGCAGTAGTAAGGGAACAAACAAGAGATGATGAGACACTCAGAGTCTAGCTACAGAGGAGGTGTCCAAGAGATAAAAGGAGAACATAAAATCACCAGAGAGCCCAGGGAAAAGTAGAACCATGGAGAAAGAGCCATCTGGCAAGTCCTATAGTCATGAAGGAATGAAGCCATGGCTGGACATGTGACACCCAAAGAAGGAAGGCACAAGGAAGAGATGCCCCAATTTCACTTTCTACCCTTCTGATATCCTTGCCTTGGCCTTCCTTATGTCCAACCACAAGGCAGTGCTTAAAGAAACTGAGGTCAACCCTGAGAGGCATAGAGCTTAGCAGAGAAGGGCAGGAAATGAATCTGGGGGGACAAAGAGAAAATAATCAGCACAGTAGCCTTTCTCTAGACTACTTTGAAAGGTCAGCTATATAAAGTGCAAACCTTAACACACCATGCTCCCACTTAAAATCGAGTGGACTCACATCATCTATAGGACTGAATCTAAACTGGGATTTGTGACTTTGCCCCTGCTTATGGCTTCATTCCCCAGTTCCTGTCTTAGCCTATGGCTGTTGTGAATTGTTTTCAGATTCACTGGCATTCTATGCTCTCACACCTCTGTCCTTTGGCCATATTCTTTTCTCTTCCCAAGGCATCTTACTGCATCTTCTCTGCTTGGCTAACTTCTTCTACTCAACCTTTGAGAATCAAAGACTTAGCTCTAGAATCACCTCCTTACAAAAGTTTTTCCAGGTGTTTCTATTGACTACCTTATCTAATCCCATCATTACACAGATGCTCCTTGGGTTATGTCCTGATAAACCTATCTTAACTCAAAAATATATGTTGAAAATGCATTTTACTCTAATAAGTCCATTGTAATGAAAAAAAAAATCTTAAACCATCATCAGTCAGGAACTATCCATACTTAGTTGAGTGAGTATCCTATCTTTCTCCCTTGAGAAGAAGGATATGCATTTTAGTTTTATCTTTTTTTGGAGGGGTGGGAGCAGGGTCTTGCTCTGTCTCCCAAGCTGAAATGCAGTGGTGTGATTTTGGCTCACTGTAACCTCTGCCTCTTGGGTGCAACCCATCCTCCTGATTCAGCCTTGTGGTTAGCTGAGACTACAGCCACATGCCATGCACCTGGTTAATTTTTCTATTTTTGTAGCGATGGGGTTTCACCATGTTGTCCATGCTGGTCAAGTGATCTGCCCACCTCGGCCTCCCAAAGTGCTGGGATTACAGGCATGAGTCACCACACCTGGCCCATTTTTGCTCTTAATACAATATCCAGCACCATTCCAGGCACTCGGTAGGCAATCAATAATAATTCTGTTCAAATTAATAAATGAAAACTAAATATTAGGTGAGAAGTAAGAAAATAACATAGTTATAAAGCTCTTTGAATGTTAGGTTATTGGGAAAAACTGTGGAAAGCCAAGAATTTTCTTTCTCAGATTCATTTTAGAATTTTTTTTTCTATACAAAAGACCATAGATAAGGCAGAGAAAGATAAGAAAAAGACCACAAGCCCAAGAACTTGGAATATGAATCATAAAGGTTAATCCTAGACTTGGGCAATATCTAGAACTCGTAGAACATAAATTTTCAGTGCCACAAAAGAAGTAGCACTGGAATATAAGTTTCCTCAGCAAGGCAATTTACTTCTATAGAAGGGTGCGGCTCACAGATGGAACCAGGACAAGGGAAGGGAAGGAGTTTTTATTCCTGACCGAAGTAGCCTCAACTGCTATGTCATTTCCCTATTGGCTAGGATTAGATTGTGCAGTCTAGTCTAATTCAAATCGGCTATTTTAAAGGGAGCAGGGGTAGGAGCCAGAGTGGCTGGGGGGGTAGTTTGGTGGGAAGGATGGTTATAGGACAGGTCAGAGCAGGTAGCTAGCAGTGACCTGTATCAAAGCAGGTGACCAGAGCAGGTTACCAGAGCAGCTGAATGGGATGAGTCAGGATGAAGCAGGGGCGTGGGGGAAAGCTGTGAACTACTGATTAGAACTGGTGGAAAAGGTTGTTTACTGAAACTACAAGGAAGTTAAACTTTAAACTGGAGGACAAAGAACTGAACATCTTGGCATATTGATACTTTGAAGGGAAACTTGGAATTCACTATATCAAACATAAAACAGTTTTCTAGAACATAGGAAAGATATTGCCTTGCTGTTAGTTTTAACTGCTGCTAAATAATGCTTTAAATTGTTTAAACTTTAAAAACGTGTATCAAAGCATACATTGCTGGTAAATTCCTGTTCCAGTAACTTTTGTCTTCTTTATATATTAAAAATTCGTGAAAAACATTCTAGCTTGGTTTGTGGGTTTAATATACTTTTTGAGGGTTTAAAATACTTTCTTTCCTAAAATTCTTTGAGAGAAAACCAAAATGCTACTACACTGAAACGAACACTAAAGAATTATTTACTATGTCTATTAACATATTTTTATTTATATTTTGCCTAAGATGCCACATAAAGCCTCTATAAGGCATTTTTCCCTAAAACTTATATATGTATGTATATATGCTTTACATCCTAAAAAGTCTACTTCATGTCTTCACCAAATGTGCATTAGTGTAATTCATAGGTCCACTACTGGCAAATAGCCCTTCTTAAAATGATGCCAATGTTGGGCCAAGATCTTACACTATAACACATACTAAACCGTGAGCACGGATCAACAGACAGAATATATTAAAGAGAAGCTTCTCCTCCTAATCTCTACAGAGGGAGGCCTTGGAGTGGGAAACCGAAAGGCTGGGACAGACTACATGTCCCAGCGCACCTTGCGACGCCCCGCGACCACAATTCCCAGAATGCACTGCTCGCCGCACGCAGGTTGCCGGGGCTTGTAGTTCTTCCTGGTCGTGTCAGTTTGTAGGGCGAGGGTGGTAGTTGCTTTGCTGGCCCAGGGATATTAGGCGTAGTTTCCCAGTTTTTGCCAGAGTAGAAACACTTCAGGCCCCTGAGCTGGCTGGGTTCCTTGTTTTATCTACTGGCTTCTGCTTTAAGACAGGTAAGTCACGGAGGGGCTACAGTTCCTCGTAGCAGAACCCCACCTTTTATTTCTGAGAGCGACCTCGTTCTCGTGAGGGTATTTGTCCCTAAGCTCTCGCCGTAGCAGCCGCCGCCCATCCCTCTTTGTGTGCTTTCGAGAGCCGCGGAGCTAGTGGTGGCGACTGTTGGTGTTGGGGGCTTAGGCGAGGGACGTTACCGGGAGGTTACAGGCGGGCGGACTCTTCCCCCTCCAGCCACCTGACAGGTGGGTTGACTGTTCTTCCCTCAAGGCCTCCCTGCCTGTGTTCCACGTCGCAGCTCGCAGGGCGGCTTGGCAGTTCCTGCTGACAGCCCCGCCCGGCCGGGCTTCGGGGCGGAAAGGCAGGGACACCTGGGTGCGGTGACTCAGGGCGGCCCGGCGAGAGGAATCCGCTCCTTTCCCTTCTCGACCCTCCACAGGCGGCCTGGGGAGCCTTGAGGCTTGTCCGGTGCCCACCGGCTTCTCCTGGACGCCCTGACCTGGACCGCGCCCTCCTGGCCATGACCCCAGGGGAGAATGTGATTCCTTTCGTCTTACCCCATTTGACAAATAAAGGCCTTTTTTACTTGCCTTAATAGTGTTTCCCCTCATCTTTTGTGTGTTGGAAAGCCTCCGAATACGGAGGTTGTAGCACAAAACTAGAGACTTTCTCTTCTCTGGAGTTACAAGAATGTGAACATGTCAGTCATGGAGGAAGGCTCTGGCCTTTATGAGGATAAGAGGATTGGTCAGCTAGAGTTCAGCTGGTCAGACTTTGTTGTTGGGTTTTAACTAAAATGTGCGTATTTTAATATCAATTAGTATTAGTATATCTATTTTACAGTTGATAGTGAACGAAAAATAATGTGCCTAGCGTAGCATACAGTTACGTATGGAAGTTCTCTTCACAAGCCGTTTGTATGGATCTGTTTAGAGGTGTAGAAAGGGTGGAGTAAGAAGCACGGTCTGTTGCTTTTTTTTAGTTTGTTCAAACAAATCTTGGAAGATGTTGTGTATATATTTTGTCTGCCATGTCAGCTTTTCATCCTTTTCGTATGCTTAAAAATTACCAATTCGCCCAGTCTTTATGGAGTTTAGTAGCTGAAATTTGCTTTATGCATTTGTTAGTAGGTGAATTTCTCCTCTTGGGTAACTTACCTTTATTAAGATTTTACTATTATGCTTTTTAAGAGATTCCCCCTAAATAAAGTTTTTCAGAAGTTATTCGCCTAGTTTTCTTTCTCTGCAACATTTAATACTTCACTTGTACAGAGACATTGAAAGAGATTGATCATTGGGCAATAAGTCAATAATGTGGAGAAGGCAACCAGTTCCTGGCTCCTGCTAGGCTACTTGAAAAAAAAAAATAACAAAAAAAATCTAATTCATTACTTCTTCCTAAAAGTGAAGTTTAAGTAGTGTTTATGCAATTGTTTTTGAAGCTCTGTAATTCTGTTTACCTTATGCATTATTCAGTACCCAGTGTCAATTGTAATGTTCAAGTCATTCTGTTGGGTGTTGTGAAGGCAGCAAAAATGACTAACAGGCAGTCCCTGATTTCAAGTACATTGTAATCTAATAGGGAACATTTCAGGTATGTCCACAAATAATTGTACTAAAAGTGCCATCAGAGGTATAGGTAAAATGTTATTGTGGAGAGATACAAAGTTAATTTGATTTGATAAGTAATGATGGTAACTTCTACATTTTGCTTGTCTTTAGTATTACTACAGCACTTTTAGAACATATAGGAATTTTCAGTTTGACCTCCTGTTGTTTTTTTACCAAGTTTCTATGAATGCAATAGAATTGGCAATAGTTTTGATCTTCATCATATAGCTGAAGAACTTCTAAATGCCAAACCATATCGTCTGTTTTAAGAGCCGGTTTTGACCTTTGTCTCGGGTACCCTAATATATTGTCATCAAAAACTTTGAGACATTGTGTTCAGTTTGTGCATGAGAAATTAAAGTGGTTAGGACGGGCTAGCTTCTATGCTCAGCTGTAGGTAATATTTATTATGTACATTTGTTTATACATTTTTCAAGTCTTAGTAATAATATGTATGCTTTCTTTATTTTATTTTTTAAAAGTTTATTTTTTAGAGACTCTGTTGCCCAAGTTGGAGTACAGTGGCATGATCATGGCTTACTGCAGCGTTGACTTTCTGGGTTCCAGTGATCCTCCAAGTAATTGGGACTACAGGCACCAGGCACATGCCACCATGCCCACCTAATTTTTTCTTTTTCTTTTTTTTTTTTTTGGTAGAGATGGGGAGGGGGTGTTTCACTATGTTGTCCAGGCTGGTCTCGAACTCATGGCCTGAAGCTGTCCCCCCATCTTAGCCTCCCAAAGTGAGCTACTGCACCCGGCCCCATTATTTTAAAAGTAAGGTTTTTGTGCTCTTTTTAGATAGCATTGAACTATATGGCCTTTTGGGACAGTTCTTTTCTTGAAACATTAGTTTTTTCAACTGTGCTGCTTTTACTAATGTAATGATTACTTTCAATGATTCTATGTTTCTAAGGTCACAAAGATGTCAGACAAAAGTGAATTAAAGGCTGAGTTGGAACGTAAGAAGCAGCGACTGGCCCAAATCAGAGAGGAAAAGAAAAGAAAAGAAGAAGAAAGGAAAAAAAAAGAAGTATGTTTGATTTTTTTTTTTTTTTAATAAACAACATAAAGTAATTGGGTTTGTTTCACATATATATTTACATATAGGTTGATGCAAAAGTAATTGTGGTTAAAAAGTAATATCAAAAACTGTGATTACTTTTGCACCAACCTGATAATTTCAGGATAGTTAAAAATCTAGCAATTCTGACTGCAGACATAGCACTATAAGTGAATCTTATTTTAAAGAAGCAAGATATATGAAAATGACAAAACTGATAAAATATAATTTTTAAAAACAATAGAATTTCATATAGATTGGTGCGGTTCTACAATTTGATTTATAAAAGTTCAGTTTATGTATTTAGTCTAGGAATATATTATAAAGTAAGGCACATCTATATTGTGTTTTGGTTTTTGGGGTTTTTTTTTGAGACAGGATCTCACTGTGTCACTCAGACTAGAGTGCAGTGATATGATCACAACTCCCTGCAGCCTCAACCTCACCTGACTCAGGTGATTCTTCCACCTCAGCCACTGGAGTAGCTGGGACTACAGGCACATGCCACTATGCTAGGTGAATTTTTGTATTTTTTGTAGAGACAGGGTTATGCCATCTTACCCAGACTGGTTTTGAACTCCTGGGCTCAAACACTTCCCCTGCCTCAGCCTCCCAAAGTGTTGGGATTACAGGTGCGAGCCAGCACACTCAGCCAAGACATCTATATTATAATAGCTCATAAATACGGTATATATATCATAACTTAGTTTGGACTTTGAATTTACCTGAATATTTTGCTAGTCTGAACTTCTAATTTGTCAGAATAAATAATATTAATGGCAAATAAAATATACAAAATAGATGATTTAATTGACTAAGGGATTTGTTCTTATCTCTTTTTTTTTTTTTTTTTTTTTTTTTTTTTGAGACAGAGTTTTGCTCTTGTTACCCAGGCTGGAGTGCAATGGTGCAATCTTGGCTCACCACAACCTCCACCTCCTGGGTTCAGGCAATTCTCCTGTCTCAGCCTCCCGAGTAGCTGGGATTACAGGCACGCACCACTGTGCCCAGCTAATTTTTTTGTATTTTTAGTAGAGACGGGGTTTCACCATGTTGACCAGGATGGTCTCGATCTCTCGACCTCGTGATCTGCCCGTCTTGGCCTCCCAAAGTGCTGGGATTACAGGCTTGAGCCACCGTGCCCGGCCTGTTCTTATCTCTTATGAGTCAGTCATTGGAATATTTTTACCGAGTAGTAGGTTTGATGGTACCATAAAGGTGGTCCAGTTACTTCTGATTTTTTTGTATCAGAAATATTTATCATGTTATATACAGCAAATGTGCATTGACCCTGAGCTGAGCATATTTTACTTGTTCCTGCACTGAAATATACATTTATTCCTATGGAAACCCTGTAGACATGTCAGCGTACTTTTACTACAGATATGTTTTAAATAGCCAGTGTAAGATAGTTTTTCCTGTGTGTCTTTAGGACCAAGTTTTTATATGTGGTAGCCTAATAATAGCCAAGGCTGCCAGAAATCTCTTGGGGACTAAGAGAAAAATAAGTAGTATAAAAGCTGAAGATACAGTTTAGGCACAGCATTGCTATAATGCTGTAAAGGCCTGTAATTGAAGAATTTGCAGTTTATTCTGAACCTTTCTGTGATACATTTTAAGAGGGTTGGAGCTTTACATTAGCTATTAGATTAAAAGCTGACTGGTTGAAGCATGATTCCGTTTGGCAGAGCTTTTCCAAAATAATATTTATAGCCCTAAACACTTCCGTGCTGAGAGCAAGTTTCATTTTTATTTTCTAAGGATGGTCATAAGTCGCAAAAGTGGCTTCTAAGGGGTATCTATTGCATGATTGATACCTAATTTAAAGTTTATAAAACTGTTGAGTCACACAGACCAATGGGGAAAAAACTAGTTTATAAAAATCTTACAAGAGATAACACAATGGTATTAAACTGTGAGTCTATTAACATGATCAACAGTGAAGCATCAGTTTGCTATTACAACCTGTTTTGTTATTTTGATTAAATTTCCTTAGAACTTTTAAGTCAAAATGGCATAGAATATTATGGCTACCAAAATTCACTCCAGACGGTGTATGAGTAATAGTTGTCTAGTTGACATAGGAATTTGAGATTTACATAAAAACACTTTTCCCTGGAAAGCTTACGTTTTACTTGCCATGTCTTGGATGATCTAGTTTATCAAGTTTAACTAGAAGATTATGCTAAAACTATAAATGCCTGAGATAAAAGCTGGCACAATTTTCATAACAAAATGTTTTATGCTGTGCAAAAGTGAGTTTAATTTTACAAAACTCAATCTCAAATAAAATGAAGACTTTTTACAGAAGTTTGTGATACTCTTACTTTTTCAACAAATCATGTTGTCATTTACTTAAAATTTTTTACCTTTTAAATAACTACACTTTAATTTTTTCCTAGTGTGTGATATTATATCTAACCTTTTGTGCCACTCGGGGGAAGTTGTCTGTTGTTCCTAACCATACACAGCAATTTCATACTGTAGATAATTTGAAGTTGAATGTACTTCTTGAGTTTATCTGTTAGGAAAATTTTTGTGGAAACTCCTTGATTACATATAAAGATAGAGCAGTTTAGTATATATCATTTGGAGGTTATTTACTAGAACTCTGTTGAGAATGATTTTCATTTAATGACTAAAAAGAACTTCACCTGTACTCAAAACTAACTTCATGCCTTAAAAGTATATAGTGTTAGCATATCATTTAAAACATTTTTTCAAACAAATGTTTCATGCTATATGTAAACGTAAGTTTTTAACCTAAACATTTCAGACTGATCAGAAGAAGGAAGCTGTTGCTCCTGTGCAAGAAGAATCAGATCTTGAGAAAAAAAGAAGAGAAGCTGAAGCATTGCTTCAAAGCATGGGGCTAACTCCGGAATCCCCCATTGGTAAGGTTAAGAATGTATCCATTTATAAGAAATAGGCATAGATTCTGTTCAGCTCAGACATAGCTGAGTGGGTTGACTTGATATATTTTGCATATTTTCCTTGTGTCTCTAAAATTATTAATCTTATAATTTATTTGGAATTGTCTTTTTTCCAGATATGCTAGTATATGGTTATTTTATTTGTTCAAAAGAGCTGCAAGATTAATTATATTTATTAACATATTCTCAACTACTAATTGACTTTTCTTATTAAATCCGTAATTCATTTCAACAAAAATTTGTTAAGCAAGTTTTGTGTGCCATACTGTGTTAAGCTCAAAGATAACTAGATTCCTGATCTGAACTCTATATTCCTTTCTGGAGATTAGAGAGAGAAACAATCAAAATTATATTGTTAGTATGCAAAGTATATTAGTATTCAAAGGTACAGGAGTGGAAGGATAAGCTTATAGCCTCTGCTGTCTGTGCTAATAAGGGAGATAATTTTGGTATCTTATTTTGGCAGTGACTTGCTTAATCTTATTCTTTTTCTGAGTTACTCATTTTGGTAACTGTACTAGACCAAAAAAGCTGAAATAGTAGAGGTACACAGGACAATCTAGTTACATATCAGGAACAAGTGCCTACTTAAAATAGGTCTGTGCTGGGTGCTGTTACATAGTGTTTTAGTTTGACATGGCCTTTGTCCTTTAGGGCCCTAACATTTTAGGGTGAGTTTGTGGGCTAATTTTAATTAGTCGAGGGGACAAATGATGGAGATTGTGATTGGTGTATTCTTGTTGTGGAACTGCAACATAACTATCCTTAGTGCTGAATTTCTAAAAGATTTCAAGATGAAAAGGCTGGCTACATAGTCATTTCATTGTTATTTCTTTCAGCTCATTTTCCTTTTCTTTTTGTAGAGTTTGAAGACTTAAGTATATTAATTTTATGTATTTATTCAATAAGCTTATGTTGAATATGCAGTTTTAAAAGTAAATGAATCAGAACACTTTTTCTTACAACTGAACCAAATTGCTTGTTAGACTTTGTTTGTGTTACCTTTTTTTCCTGTGCCTGTGTGTTGGCTTTTGTTTTTCTCCCATAGGTTTTTTTTTTTTTCTTTTATGTTCTTCTTAAGACTTTAGTTTCGCTGAACTCACTTGTTCATATTTCTTAATTTATGGCTGGGTTAGTTCTTTGCATTGCTACAGAGAAATACTGAGGCTGGGTAGCTTATAAAGAAAAGAAGTAGCCGGACATGGTGGCTCAGGTCTGTAACCCCAGCACTTTGGGAAGCCGAGGTGGGTGGATCACCTGAGGTGTCGGGAGTTTGAGACCAGCCTGACCAACGTGGAGAAACCCGATCTGTACTAAAAATTCAAAACCAGCCAGGTGTGCTGGTGCATGCCTGTAATCCCAGCTGCTTGGGAGGCTGAGGTTGAGGTGAGCCAAGATGGCACCATTGTACTCCAGCCTAGGCAACAGGAGTGAAATTCTGTCTAAAAAATAAAAAGTAAAGAGGTTTAATTGACTCACGGTTCTGCCAGCTTTATGGGAAGCATGGTGCTGTCTTCTTCTGGCGAGGCCTCAGGAAACTTTTAATCATTGCAGAAGGCATAGGGGAGTCAGCATGTCTCATGCAGTGAGCAAGAGCAAGAGATGGTGGAAGGTGCCACAGTCTTAAACAAAACCATGAGGGATCTGTGCCCATGACCCAGACGCCTCCCGCTAGGCCCCACCTCCAACGCTGGCGATTACATCTCAACAAGAGATTTGGAGAAGATGTCCAAACTGTATCAGTGGCCTACCTCCATTCTTGAAAGACTGTTCTTTAGGGTTTGTGTATGTGTCCCTCATTACTCAACTCTAATTCTGTTCTCATTCCCACTAATTCATTAGTACTCATTTTTGCATTTTTTTTTTTTTTTGAGAGAATCTCGCCCTGTCGCCCATGCTGGGGTACAATGATGCAATCTCGGCTCACTGCAGCCTTCATCTGTCAGGTTCAAGTGATTCTCCTGCCTCGGCCTCCCAAGCAGCTGGGGTTACAGGTGTGCACCACCACACCCAGCTAATTTTTTGTATATTTAGTAGGGACAGGGTTTAACCATGTTGGCCAGGCTGGTCTTGAACTCCTGATCTCATGATCTGCCCACCTCAGCCTCCCAAAGTGCTGGGATTACAGACATGAGCCACCACACCCACGCCACTTTTGCTTTTTTAATGTACACACATCCTTCAGATTATCCTGTTTTTCAAGGTTTCCCATATCTGTATGTATACTTTATATACATAAATAGCATAGTGCTGTATGTCTTCTGTTTATTCCATGTTGTATATACAAGTTTAGTTATTTATCTGTAATATATAATATCCTATTATGTACCACATTTTACTTATCCATTCCCCTGGTGCTGTGCACTCAGTTTGCTTTTGTCTCTGCTTTACTATCATAAGCAACACTGCAAAAAAACTTTTTTCTTTTCTTTTTTTTTTTGTAAGATGGGGTTTCATCATGATGGCCAGGCTGGTCTTGAACTCCTGACCTCAGGTGATCCACCAACCTCAGCCTCCCAAAGTGCTAGGATTACAGGCGTGAGCCATTGCGCCTGGCCTATATATTTTTTTTCTTGAGGACTATGGAATAGTTTCTCTGGGGTGTATGCCCAATAATTGACTTGCTATGTTATTGTATATAGGATTTAGCTTAATTAGGTTCTGCATAATACTCTCAAGAATGGCTACAAAAGTTTATCCTCCCACTACCAGTGCATGAAAAAGTAACTGCTTTACCATATTTACATCATGATTGGGTATTATCCAGCTTTCTAATTTTTCCTAACTTGGTTAGTATAAAGTGGTCAAAATGTTTTAATATACATTTATCTGATTACAGTGAGGTTGACCACTTCTTTATATATCCATTAACCATTTGAGGTTTCCCTTTTGTGAATTGCATATTCTTATCCTTTTCCCCATTTATTACAATTGGGGTTCTTTATCTTCTGATATGTAGGCATTCTTTGTGTATTTTGTGTATTTTAGGGAGGACTTTTGTCTGTTTCAGTCTCTTAAAAAACCTCCTAATCTGTTACTTGTTAACTGTTCATAATATTCTTCATTGAACAGAATCCTTTATTTTGATATGGTCAAATTCTTCGTTTTGATATGGGCAGATCTAGCAATTATAGGCTAAGTATTCCTAATCCAAAAATCTGGCATTCAAAATGCCCCAGAATCTAACTTTTTTTTTTTTTTTTTTGAGACAGAGTTTCGCTCTTGTTACCCAGGCTGGAGTGCAATGGCGCGATCGCGGCTCACCACAACCTCCGCCTCCTGGGTTCAGGCAATTCTCCTGCCTCAGCCTCCTGAGTAGCTGGGATTACAGGCATGCGCCACCATGCCCAGCTAATTTTTTGTATTTTTAGTAGAGACGGGGTTTCACCATGTTGAACAGGATGATCTTGATCTCTTGACCTTGTGATCCACCCGCCTCGGCCTCCCAAAGTGCTGGGATTACAGGTGTGAGCCACCGTGCCCGGCCCAAAATCTAACTTTTTAGGCACCAACAGGACACTCAAAAGAAGTACTGACTAGAGAATTTCAGATTTCGGATTTTTAAGTTAGGATCTGAACTGCTAGGTATAATGTAAATATTCTAAAATCCAGAATAGTCTATCACCTTTGGTCCAGCATTTTGGATAAGGGATACGCAACCTGTATAACCCTTTTTTGTGTGCTTTTGGTCTTTTTAAAAAGAAATCCTTTCCTACATTGTGGATGCAAATATGTTTTTCTGTGGTTTTCATATCAGTTTTATAGTTTTACCCCTCGCATGTCGATATTTGGATTATATTTTTTTAAATAGTATGACGTAGGGATCCAACCTAATTTCCCTCTATATAGTTAGCTAATTTTTTCAATACCATTTATTAATCTATCTTTTCCCCCACTGAAGTCTGCTGCCAACTTCATCATACAGTAAATTCTCATGTATTGATGGGCATTTCTGGGCTGTTTTCACTATGAATCTATTTGTTCAATTCTACACAACCCAGTTTTAATAACTGTAGCTTTGTATTATATTCTAATTTCTTATATAGAAAATAACCCCCTCTTTGTTCCTCTTTTACAGAATTGTCCTAGGTTCACAAACATTTTTCTTCCCCTCAAGAAATTTAGTTTCCCTCTAGAGTCTTGTACCATACATACATTGCATTGATGTTTTCTTTTCAAATTATTTATTTATTTATTTTTGAAACAAGGTCTCACTTTGTCACCCAGGCTAGAATGCAGTGGTACAGTCATGCCTTGCTACAGCCTCAACCTCCCAGGCTCAAGCCATCCTCTCACCTCAGCCTTCCAAGTAGCTGGGACTGTAGGTACACACTACCATGCCCAACTAATTTTTTTTTTTTTTTTTTTTGTAGAGGTGAAGTCTCGCTATGTTGCCAGGGCTGGTCTTGAACTCCTGGGCTCAAGCAATCCTCCTGCCTTGGCCTCCCAAGGTGCTGGGATTATAGACATGAGCCACCACACCCTTCCTAATTTTTAAAAATCTAGAATATTCTCTACACACATACTACTTTTTGCCTCATGTTATCTACTTGTTGAAGAAGGTGGGCTTGGTTTGACTGTCCCCCCTCCTGGGTTTGTCTGATGGCATTCTAAAATCACATTTAGATTTTATCTATCCCTTATGTTTCCTTTAAACTGGAAGTTAGATTAAGAAGCTTGATTTTGATCTAGTTTGTCTGGGCTCAGTGGCTCACACCTGTAATCCCAGTACTTTGGGAGGCTGAGGTAGGTGTATCGCTTTAGCCCAGGAGTTAAAGACCAGTGTGAGCAATGTGGTGAGACCCGGTCGCTACAAAAAAAAATACAGAAATTAGCCAGGCATGGTAACATGCACCTGTAGTCCCAGCTACTGGGGAGTTGAGGTGGGAGGATCAATTGAGCTCTCAAGGTCAAGGTGTTAGCCATGATGGCACCACTGAACGCCACCCTGAGTGACACAG